ATATAATATATGTAAATATAAATATATTTAATATATATAATTACACATAATTTTAATTTTAAATAAAATTAAATAATATATTATATATCATTATAATTGATACATATATATTTTAAGAATATATAAATATATATTATATTTAATCTTTTTATCGGTTTCCGTTAAATATTAGTGTCCTTACGGAAAAATATTGTTGACTGTTTTTTTTATTCTTTTAAAAAAAATCTATCTTGAATGAGGGAATGGTCTCACATAGGGAAGGATTTACTTTGAGGGCAGGACATCTTGCTCTCATTATCATTTTATACATACATATTTTTTTTATCAAAAAATAATATTTTGAAAATAAATTATATTTTAATAAAATAAATATATATTTGTATTATTGTATGTATAAAATATAAATTTAAAAAAAATATTTATTTATTTAAAATTTGTCAAATTTTTAAAAGAGATTAGTTATTATATATAATATATTAAAAAATTTAATTTTTGATAAAATAAATTTTACAACATGCATATTTACCTTTTGTACTTTTTAATTATTTTATATTTTAATTAAAAATCAAAATAGTAAAGATTGTAAGATTGTATACATTGATTAAAAAAATTAAAAAAATAAAAATTGAAAGATTTATGTTTTATTTAGAATTTTTATTATAAAATATGTTTTAAAATAAATTATTATAGAAAAATTTATATTAGTATTTAAAACATGTTTATATCATTAATAAATTAAACTTGATTTTTATTAACATATTTATTTTTATATTTTTATTAGTATTAAATTATTATAAAATAAGTCTTTAGGATTATAATTTTAATCAAATATTTTTAAAAATATGTTTATAACAGATAAATAAGTCATATTTAAGAAATGTGTTTTTAAAGAAAGTTATATTCAAACTTACTAACTTATAATATAACTTATGCTGACCTAACTTATTTTCATCCTTAATCGTAATCATAAATATAAAAACTTGTAAAAAATAATTATGATATATATTTATACCTTTAAAAGATATATGTAAAATTGTTAATATTATAAATATATAAATAAATATTGTCTCCATCAATGGCGAAACTTGAATAAAAATTTTAGAAATGCCAAATTAATTTTTTTATATATAAATTACATTTTTATTAAATAAAAACTAATAGAATTTCTTATTTTCTTTACTCATTTTTTTAATTTTATTATAATTAATAATATAATAATATATAAATATAATATTAATATATATATATATATATATATATATATAGAAAATTTTGGAAGGGACCATGGCTCCCCTTTCATAACTAAGATCCGTCTTTAATCCTCACTATTTAAAGTTTCTGGATCCGTCACTATTCTTACATTACAAAATTTTATTATAAAAGAAACGTGACTGTAATGCAAAATATTATGAATCGTACAATTATCACGTGTATGCATAGACAGTATGTATAATGCAAAATATAAGCGTATAGAAAGAATGTACTTGAAGCGTGGAGTTTTTTGCATAGCTTGTTTCTCCCACACCACTGTTCATGCAAAGGACTCGTTCTGTTGCCATCTGTAACAAACACAAAATACTTTAAATAAATCAGTGCCAAAATTATGTTTTGTTATATAACGGGGTCAATCTGTGTACAATTTTTATATTCTTATATATCCATCTTCTTTTTCATCTTGATTTTTAACTTTATTTTTTCTTTTTTTAATAACTTTACCTGTCATTTCTCTCCTTACTTTATATTTTATTTATATTTTATGAAGAGAAAATAAATGATTCACTGATAATGCTGTAAACTAATTTTATACTATTATCTATCACAAATAATTCTGTATAATACGTTATTAAATTTATAAAAAAATATTAATAGTAATATTTAATTAGGTAAAATAAAAAGTTATTTTATAACCTGATGTATCATCGTTAAACTCTTAAATTAATATATTTACAAACAAGAATTTTAATTATACACAAATTTCGCACACATATTAAACTGTATAATTTATTTATAACATCACATTCTAACATAACTAGTTGATAAATTTCTTTGATTAACTACTATATGCAACAATTTTTATTTAAGTTATGATATTCAAGTAGGATTCTAGAAGTCAATTAACTTGTTTAATGTTTAATATTAAGTATGCTTAAGAATAGTTGAAAGATAAAGTGAGCATAAGTATTCCATCTATGTATTTTTTAAGTATCTAACAACTCTAATGAAAGTCTTACTAATTAATAGTCCGACAAAATCTTTACATATTGTTATCAAAAGAAAGAACATCAAAGCAAACTATATATGGTCCATATGACCCCTTCTTCTTCTTCTTTTTTTCTTCTAATAACACATAAAAAATTTATGCATAACCTTGATACATATTTTCTATTAATTTTGTTGTAAAATTGTTCATGTTGTAGTATTCACAAAATGGTTCATAACCTTTAACTTCATTTGTAAAGAATCATAATATCCCTACATTAAAACATGAATAGTATCAATAATTAGAATTTATGCCTTTATATTTTATAAATGTGTCAATTTTTAAGTATGTATGATTTGATAATTATTGTAATAAATTTATCGATTTAGATAACAAAAACAATAGAGGAAAAAAAAGTTCACAACCTTGTGTTGCATATCTTCTATAAATTTTCAAATAATTCCTTATATATGATTATTTTTTGTAGAACTATACAACTTCCCCTCATCATCTACTATCAACATTTTCAAACAATCCTTTTATTTTACTCTTAATATAACCACAATTGTCCATGACTAAAAAATGGTCTTGGAAGAAACATAGGCCAACATTGGAAAGTGATTATTCTTGACTTTTGTTGATGGTAATTACAAACACAAGAAAAAATAAAATTATTGTCGTTGGAACTTGAATGGTCATCAAAGCAAATCTCTTTTACATTATCAAACATTGAGTGTGATGGTGACTCCATATACTATCAGGTATCCTAAATTATATTAGAAAAAACAACACCATCCAATGAAATCCAAAAAGATTACCCTTTGCTAAATACACTTTCAAATATACATGTTAAAACATATTTGAATGTATATATCCATACAACATCTCATCAAATTTATAACACATGTATAATTCCATATAACAAATAAACTTAACAAAGTAAGATCTACATACCCCTCAAGCATATTATATCAATATTCTTCATTCTTACAAGTAATATAGCAATTAACTTTCATTAACATAAAAGTTAATAGAATAACAGTAAAATTCCTAATTATTCCAAATTAGAAATTAATAGGAGGCTTGGCCGTCCATTCACATAAATTCCAAATTTTAAATCAATAGGAGGCTTGGCCGTCCATTCACATAAATCAAACGTTATTCTAAGAAATTCTACCCAATACCCTCATGTATTTTACATATAAATAACCCTCTTTTCCCCCGTACCTGATTAAATAGAAATTTGAGTAGAACTTCCTCTTCTTTTTTATTAACTAGGACCGGAACTAGAGCAGAACCTCCTCTCTTTCTAGATTCTTCTCTCTCTCTCTCTTTCTTCCTCCAGAATTTCCTTATCTCAAGTTATGAATTTCCTTCAACCCCTAGCCTCTATTTATAGAAATTCTGGAATTACTATGCAGATTAAAATAATATTATATTTACTATGCACTATTCATTAAAATAATATTAATAGTAAAATACTGTGCATTCACGAGATTACTGTTCGTCCACGGATTTACTGTTCAAAAATACATATATTACTATTCAAAAATACATATACGTGAATAGTAAAATACGTATACATAAATAGTAAAATACATATAAAAAAATATGATAATCCTTTTAACAATCCCAATACATAAAAATAAAATTTTAGGATGTTACAGAAATGAAGGAGGAATGGAAGAAAAGGCAATTTATTTAGTTTTAAAAATAAAATTTTCTTAATTTCTATACAATATGTATATATGTAAAATGAAAACATAAATAGTAAAATACGTATACGTAAATAGTAAAATACGTGTAAAAATATGATAATTCTTCTAATAATCCCAATACATAAGAATAAAATTTTTGGGATGTTACAGATTTAACTTTAAAATATTTAACTTCCTTAACAACATTTCTATTTATATTTATTAAAATATTATTATAAATTAAATTGATAAGTTATTGTAGCATTTTTTTTCAAAAAATATTATTATAAATAAGATAATATTCTTTTATCTTAATATTATTATTTTTAATTATTTTTTTAAAATTAAAGTCTTATATTTAATAAAAAATGATACATAAAAAATATACTTGTTTAATATTTAATTATTTCACAAAATTAAAGTTACATACCGAGTAAAAGAATAACATATAAAAGAGTATAGATCACCATACAATGAAATTTAATATAAACGAACTTTAATATTTGATCTTGATTTAGCGATTAAATGTCTTTCACCTTAAAAAAAATGTAAAAAGAATATAAGTAAGGGTAACAAAAGAATTTATTTGTATCCAATATTATCCAACCTAGGTACGAATAAATTTATTTAATTTATCATCGATTTAGTTTTATAAATGGTTAGTGATTTATATACTAATTTTTAAATATTCGTTAGATTATAATATAAGATGCATTATGGAATGAGATTTAAAGAAAACTATTTTGACTTTAAAAAATTATAAATTTAAAGAGAAACAATATAAAAATGCAATGATTTATAAAGAAAGGAGAAAAAAAAAATATTTCAAAAATAAAATTATTTAGTTTTAAAAAAATCATAGATGGATTGAATATCCACTTTAAAAAATTTTCAAAGAATGGTTTGAATAATTTTTCTTTTAAATGAATTTAATTTTTAAGAAATTTTTTAATAAATTTAAAATGAATTAATGGATTATTTATTTTAATCCATTATGATATGTCTAAAAAGTTAATTATTCAACTATGTCTCACTTTCAAAGTATAAGTGGAAACATCATCTATATTTAAACTAATTATTATTTTATTTTATTTTTTAAAATAGTAATATTATTAAATATTGATATTAATATATAAAAATGTTGTTAATTTTTTTTTATTAATAATATGACATTTTTCTTTCGTTGCTAAAAACACATGTTGTAACGTTCGGAACCAAATTGAGGGATGGACAAAGCATCGAAGAAGACAGCAGCATGTGGCATGGTACATAGTTTCAATATTTTAATCACAAAATGCACCAGTCACCCAGGTTGCTTTAGAAAATACAGATCTAGCTCGCAATGGCAAAACAAAGAGACAGATTTCGAAAATATTCAACTGCATCAATCTCAGAATTTCTTTCAAAACGCAAAACTAGTTAAAATTGATCCTATGCCACGCTTCAAAACTCCACATAAAAATAAATAAATAAATAAATAATGCATGATTGATATATAGATAGAAAGAAAGAGCATGAATCTGTATGAGTACAATCTAAAAGAACTTTCGAGAATATCTTTTTCTAAAAGTAAAAGATATTTTTTAGCAGAGAAATTTTTAAAAGTTGCCCTAATAAGTTTGTATCTAAACATGTTATATGTAATGGGCTAAGGTTACCTGTTGGATCCGTAGAAAGAAAGAAACAGGACTTGGCTGTGCTTAGATATGAAACCAGCAATAACAAGATCTGTGTTTATCCACAGAACGCAAAACCTCGGTGTCAAAACAAAACGAAACGAAAGATGAAAATGATAATATATAGATATAACAGCTATGCATTAGTCAGATTTGATGAAAGGAACAGTAAGCCGCTATTATTATTTGGGGCTTTAATATTATTTTAAAGATATCTCCACATTTTCTAACACGCAACATTGGGCATATCTCTCGATAAATTATAATGACATCCGTCACATAAACTATTATTAGTTGATATCATGGATTTCTAATTATATATTCCAATTAGTACCAATATACATATATAATTGAATAGTTAAGCTAAAATAAGAAATAAGATTAAAATTAAGATATTTCTATAATAACATAATCAAATTATTTTTAACTAAATCAAAAGACTATAATATCAAGATATTTTTATAATGACATAATCAAATCATAACATAATAAGAATATTCCTCCTAATATTTTGTTAACACCCTCCCTCAAATTCTAGTTAGAATGCTGGATGCTAACTTGAATTTGCTCAAGAGATCTTTGAAGCGAGTAGCACTACTAGAAAAATTAATATTTGTAACGAATTTTGTGACGGAAAAAATAGCGTCGCTAATAGTGACGCATTTTGTGAGGGAATTTTAAGTTTTGTGACGGATTAGCATTTATTGACTTTTGTGACGGATTTTGTGACGGAATATATTTCGTCTCTAAAAATCCGTCACAAATTTCGTCACTAAATAAAAAATAAAAATTTTGTGACGGAAAAATTTTCGTCTCTAAAAATCCGTCACAAATTTCATCACTAAACAAAAAAAAATGTTTGTGACCGATTTTGTGACAGAATAAACTTCGTCTCTAAAAAATCCGTCAATAAATAAAAAAAAATTAGTGACGGATTTTTCCCTCTCAAAATTCCGTCACAAATAGGTTAAAATATTTTGTGAAAAAATTTGTGACGAATTATTCCCTCTCAAAATATTAAATTTTATTTATGAAACTTTTATATTTAAGAATTATGCATAATTAAAGAAAATATGTTAAATATTTTTAAAAAATAATAATAAAAATAAAAATATTTTATTTCATTAAAAGACTGAAAAAATTATGAAATTTATTTAATTAAATAAAAAATTGTCAATTTTGAGCATAAGAAATTAAAACATTTATTACAAATATTTAAAAAAAAAACTTGTGAAATTAAAAAAAAAAGAGTATTAATTTAATTTTGGCTTAATTACATTTTTGTTCTCTCAAGTATTGTAATTGTGCAATTTTGATCCCTAAGGTTTTAATTGGATAATTTTAGTCCCTAAATAATTGTAATTGTGCAATTTTAGTTCTTTAAATTTTAATTGAACAATTTTAGTCCCTCAAATATTGTAACAGCCCACGCAACCCGCATGTGGATATTGTCCGCTTTGGACCTCGCGGCCTCACGGTTTTGTTCTTAGGCTCTTCAATGGCACTCATGCCACCCCAAAACGCGTCCACACAAGGAAGGTATCCACACCCATATATATGGCATGCTTCGTTCTCCTTCCTAACCAATGTGGGACTTCACAATCCACCCCCCTCATGGGAGTCCAGCGGTCCAGGCTCTGATACCAAATGTAACACCCCAGCAACCCCGCATGTGGATATTGTCCGCTTTGGCCGCAGCCCTCACGGTTTTGCTTCTGGCAATGGCACTCATGCCACCCCAAAACGCGTCCACACAAGGAAGGTATCCACACCCATATATATGGCATGCTTCGTTCTCCTTCCTAACCGATGTGGGACTTCACAATCCATGCATCACCACTAACCCCGCGACTTCGTGATAAGAACGGTTAGGGAAATTCCTTCATTCTCGGGGCCCAAGAGACCCATGAACGACGTACCATAAAACCCAAAACCCTAGAGTTGAGGAGACAGATTTACACTTTTGAATGCTCTGGCTTTGAAGTACGATCTAGGAAAAAATCCTAGTCCACCCTTTGGCCAGAACATGAACAATTAATAATTACCATTTTTACGTTCACTCTGCCATATATGTTTCCTCTCTGTTTTATCTTTTATATATTTCGCTTTTTATAAAATGCTTTTAAAGATGAGCTCTCAATAATAAAAATAACAAGAAAAATAAATATACAGAGAAAGGTTGATTTAATTGATTAATAGCAATTTTAAAATTGCGCAATTTCCACCGTACATAAACCGTTCAATTTCGTGCCAGAAGTAAGAGAAAGCAAAAGTGTGTTATTCATGCAAAGACTCGGTGGTTGTTTTAATACAGACTGTGGAACAATTGTTGTTATTTTAATATCGATAAGAAAACAAGAAACACCAAATTTACCCTTGTTCTAAGAGAGGCAATATATTAATATTATTGAACAGAAATTTTATCCTTTTAGATATTTTTTAAAAATAACAAATTAACAACATGCATCACCACCACCTTGACGGTCTAAACGCAATAGACCAAACATAAACTTCATTTATACTAACAATTTCCTAACCATTGAGTATATTATATAATATTAGACGATTGTAGATTATGTTTCAAAAGTAAGATCCAATTTTATATTTTTTAAGTTTAGAAACAATTTTTTAATGTAGTCCAAAATATTCATCTTACACTCTCCACTAGAGCCATGATATAATGAATCATGAATTGACGAGTCAGATTAACAATTTATGTTTAACTTTTTAAAAAGTATAGTCACCACTTTTGGAAGAGGAAAAAAAAGTCCGAGCAACTTTAATTCAACGGATGACTTCGAATCGAAGTAAGATTTTTTTTTTCTTTTTCTAAACTATTTTTATTCTCTCAACTTAAATATTATTCTTTGATCTAAATTATTACTAAAATAATTAACAAAATCAGATTAAAAAAAATATTACCTTTATTTTAAAAGTAGAGTGTCTAAAGTGGATAAAAATTATAAAAATATGTAAAAAAAACATATATTAACTAAGTAAATAAAAATTTAAATTTATCCAAACAAAAAAATGTTAGATAAATTATTATTCATTTTAGTCCTTCTATTTTTTAATATTTAATTTGATTTTGTTTTTAAATAGTCCAATTTGGTCCTCTATTTTTTTTAAATTAATATTACCTTTCTATTCATTTCATTAATGGCATCGTGTCAATTTAGATTAAAAAAATAACACTAAATATTTTTAAAAATTAAAAATTAATTTAAACTATTTAAAAATAATAGATCCAAATTGAATTTCAAAGTTAAAAGTATAATTTATTAAAAGGAATTTTATTACAACAATCAAACTCTGTTCCCATTAAAGAAAAAGTAGTGCTAGAATTTTTATTAGAATAATCAAACTCTGATCCTATTAAAGAAAAAGTAGTGGTATAGGGAGCAAGTGAAGAAAACATCGCTAGCACGGACACTAAAACAGTTCCATCATATAGAAAAGGAATTATTGAACAGGTTTCTATCCTACTTTTAAAAATTACAAGCATTCATCACCACCTGACATTCTGAAAGCAACACACTTAAAAATGATTAGTTCTTAAAACTATTCTTAAAACTATAGAGACTTAAAGTTAAAATAAATGAAAGTATAAGGAATAAAAAAAGTATTTTAACCTTATATCATTATTAGATTAGTGTTAGTAGAGTCGAACATGAGTTTTTTAAGGTCCTGGATAAACAAAAACATAATGTCCTCAATTATTTAAGTATGTTATTTGTATTTTTTTATTGCAAGATTATTAGAATATCAAAAGTATTCTTAGGACCTGTTGGTTTAAAATTGGAAGGTCTCAAAATAGTTAAAGGATTCATGAAGAATTCTTCGACAAAATTGAAGAAAGTTGGTTACAAGCAGTTAGGGGCGGTTCAAGGAAGTTACTCACAAATGTGTGAACATCAGGGTAGTTATATACCATAAGAAGTTGATGTGTATTAACTTTTTCTCGAAGAAAGTATTCAAGGATCGAGAAGTGTAGCAAGTAGTTGCCAGAAGTTAAAAAGCGGTTAAGAGAGGTTACTCACATCACGTAATGGGGAGCGGTTACGCATACCACGTCAAACCCATACAAAATTAACCACTCCCACTTAACCTCTATAAATAGGTGAGGCAATCTCATTTCAGGAGGTCAAAAAATCATGCTTAAGGACTCTCATTGCCTGCGCATATGGCTCCCGGATACAAGATTGTTGAATATGACTTCTTGGCCACCCTTTTTCCTTTTCTTTTCTTAGAATAGTTCTATCTTAGTGTAGCAAGGTGTAATTTCGTAGTTCATTTGTTTCTCAGAATCATCATGTGTTGTAATTAGGGATGACAATGGGGCTTTATGGGGATGGGTAATAGTAAACTCGTCCCCACCCTGCTGAATGAAAATTGGCCACATACCCACCCCATATTCACACGAGTATCTATTAAGCGGATATCCATGAATTTCTTGAATATCCACGGATATCCATGGATATTTATAAATTTTTTAAAAATTAAAAAATTATATTACAAATAATTTTAAGTTTATATTTAATATCATTGAAATATTAAAAATAAAAATTAAATGTTAACTTTGAACTTGTATTTAACGTTAATTTTGTTGACATAATAATAGAAATGCTAGATAATCAATAACTTAAAATACATCAATCTCACACAAGTAAGTGAAAGTCTCATATCACAAAGCTATAATAATTCAATCTCATAATTTCAAATGACAATAAACAACTTAAAATATATAAATCTTATTGGTCCAATCAAAGCTAGAAAATTAATCAAATTACATCCAACATAATTCTATGGAAAGAAAATAAGATGAGAGAGTGTAGTTTTAGGGTTATGTGGTACAAGGATAATTAGGATATTTAAGAAATATTATTAAACGAGTACCCGCGGGTATGAATATCATCATACCCGTCCCTGTCCCGTTTATAAACGGGTAAAAAATTATCCGTCCCCATTATTCGCAGGTACCCACCCAATTAGCCTATCCATTTATTATCCGTAGCGGATTTTACTTGCAGATACCCATGGGTGTGGGTATTTTTGCCATCCCTAGTTGTAATCTGAAATTTATTTGAAGCAAACAAGTCATGACTACTATTATCAACGTATATGTTGTCCATTCAATTTGCCTGAAT